TCTCCCCAACAAAAATGCTTCCTGCACACAATCAGCTTTACTGTATTGGCCCTGACAGCATTGCAAAAAAAAGCCATGCAACAATCACTGAATCATGGAAACAAACACAGCCACGGCCATATAACTTGGTGGGTTTGTGATCTGTCCATATTAGTCTGTCATCGTAGAGCACAAGCAGCCATGAATAATGAAAAAGCAGGGTTTTCTCATAGGATAAGAAAATAATGAGAAATTTGTTATATCTCATTGTTATATAAACCAACATGTCATCACTTCACTAGCAGATGTGCGTTACATCATCGATTTTGATCTCACCCCTAAAATGATTTTAAACCCGGAAGATGAAATTAGCTGACAAAAGCTCAAAATTATCCAGTTTTTCCCACAATTAAAGCTGACAGGTGCTAATGTTGTCTTGAAGCTCAACACAAACAAATCTATTAAAATCTTTAAAAAAGTACTCCAGGGTGTCTTGAACATTTAAAATGTTTTTGAAAGTCTCGTGCTTTTTATGTAGCCGATGCCATTTATTGTTTTAGAATAATACATTTAGAAAATTTAAATTTTTTTATGAAAAACCCCAAAGTTCTTTTTAACTGTCAGATCATTATTGTCACTTTTAATCAATTGAATTTATTCTTGCCGAATAAAGTAAATTAATTTATTCTTTTCATTCGGCTTAGTCCCTTTGTTAATTAGTGGTCACCACAGTGGAATGAACCGCCAACTTATCCAGCACATGTTTTATGGCAGCTGATGCCCTTTCCAGCTGCAATCCAGTACTGGGAAACATCTATTCACTCTCAATCACACACATACACTATGGCCAATTTAGTTTACTAATTTACCTGTAGCACATGTCTTTGGATTGTGGGGGAAACCTGAGCAGCTGGAGGAAACCCACACCAACACAGGGAGAACATGTAAACTCTACACAGAAATGCCAACTGACCCAGGCACTCGAACCAGCAACCTACTTGCTGTGAGGCAACAGTGCTAAGCACTGAGCTACTGTGTCACCCTTGAAAAAAGTAAATCAATACCAATAATGTCAAATTATAAATACAAGTAAATATACTAAATTTGCATGTTAGTTTAAGCAGCAATAGTGACATAATTTTCAAAAGCTTGCACTTTGAAACCCATTTTATAAAGTTTGCTTTTTCAGGCCTCCAAAACACTGTTGTTATGTAAAGAATGTGGTCAAATTGCATAAAAATATCATGTCACATAAACATATCCTAAAGTTAGCAATCCACTAAAATGATCACTACCATAAAAGCACAAAATTACCTGCAGCTTAGCATTTATTTACAGGAATGTTAAAGGAGATGGAAATAGCTTGTAATGATGTAACTGTAGGTAACAGCAGGGGCAGGTGGACCATCAGGATTTTGTTGAGATTTAATTCACATCCTAATCAGGGTTATTAATAACCTTCTCCCGCACTAAAACAGAAGCGACATCCACTTCCCAAACTCTGCCATCACATCACATTCACACCTGAGTGACAAACCCCATTACCGCCAATGGAGATGAATCACTGTGGGTGATCACTGGGGCAGAGATCATTGAAAGTAATTGGGGATGAAAGCACACAAGCGGGGGTCAGTCTGAGGTCGACCACATACATCACCTGGATCTATGCCACCACCACTCATTAGTTTTGACTATGTACCTTTGTGCAATTCACAGAATTGGTTTATTGGTAAGCCCCGCTCCACTTAGTTACTGTTGCTAACTCAGATAAACGAATGAGGGTTTTCTAACCTACAGCACCTTTTGACTGCCACAGTAGGAAAAAAATACTATGGACGATGATGGGTGCCAGCAAATTGCATTCTTCAAAATATCTTCTTTTGTGTTCAACATAAGAAAGAAACCTCAAAAAGATTTCAAAGCACATGAGGGGGAATAAATAATAAGGGGATTGTAATTTTTAGGTGAACTATCTATTTAATTTAGAAGCAAGGGTTTACAAATCTCAGTGGAAGCAGGGGAGATCTCATGTTACAGTGGTCACGTTCACAGATAATCAACATTCAGAGTAATCCAATAATCAACACCTGAGGCAGAGGCTGTGTTACTACATAACGATTGCGACTTAATAATTGAGAGTGGAGTTAAAAGAATTGTTTTTACGAGATACCTCAGAACAAATATTTACATCCTTGTTGATGTTCTGGATGTTAAATCTTGTTTCAATTCCATTGCTCATCCTCTCAGGATACCAGGAATCAGTGTCAGAATCAGGCACATAGTTTTATCATTTTTGTAGCATATACTCCATCAAACCAAAATCTAGCAGTGTTTGTCTATGGCACTGAAACCTAAAGGTATGGACTTTTAGTTTGTGTGAATCTGATACTGCTATTGGCTCATTCAGTTGAATATGAATCTTAGACACTGCAAAGTTGTTTTGTGGTATTTATTTGGTGTTGCTTGAAGAACTGCATGAAAATGATCATTTATTCTTCAGCAATAGATTCCTAATGTAAAAAGGAACAAAAATGGTTGCCGTCATACTGCCCCGTAGTGTTCAGTTTACCTAGAAATCAAATGTCAAATGTGTTTTTTTTTCTTTTTTCGATGTGGTCAGTTGTCTCTGTAGCATTATGCATGGTGTTGTACGTATGATGCAGCATGCTTAGGCCCCGTTTACACTAGTGCGTTTTAGTTTTAAAATGGCGTTTTAGAATAAAAACGATCCGCGTCCACACTCGCGTTTTACCCAGCGTTTCTGAACTGCTCTCCGTCCACACTAAAACGCTGAAAACGCACATCACGTGACCACACACACACTTTGGCAAGCGCTGCAGCCCATCTACCCAGATGAGAGCTCTGCTGGTCGGACTTCTCATCAAGCATCTCCCGCTGGATCTAATCTCACTATATTTATTAAACGTGATATTTCATTCATCTTGTTGTCTTTATCTAACGACATATTCCCTGACTTTGGTCATTGGAATCTATTACTTGTTCTCAGGTAACGTGTTTTGGCTGAGCGCAAAGATAAGTTAATGATTAATGTAACCACTTAGCCTGTTCTGTATATTGACTGATCGCTTGCCTTTATTTCCTATAATGTATAAACTTATTGTATGTTATACTTTTATAATGGCCATTATCGATTATTAAAACTGATATTCAGCAAAAGAGAGGGTATGTTTCGTATTTTCACAGAAATTGAAAGGAGGCAGTTGTTAGGGCTCCGTTTTGTTATAAATATCCACACAGTGAAGATGACGCTCAGGCAGCACGACGCCTCAACATTTCTGCTGTCTGTTTAGTTGTTAATATTAAAATAAAAATAGGCAGTTCCTTATCAAGTTTACATTTTATTGTTGAGAAAGTGAAACAACGTAGCCAGGGTGATGTGAATGAAGTTATAAAATACACTGTTCCCTGTGAAGATTGACGCGTGTCCTCGGTATGTTTTCCATATCAAACTGAGAAGAAGAGATGCAGCCTTGATCAAACTTGCGAAGTCTGAACTTACACGGAGAAGATTCAGGACTGAACTGTGTTAGGCTACTTAATATTGAGAAAAAAGCCCCAATCAGAGAGGCGAATGTCTGCAGCCCCGCCTCCGTTTTCAGATGTCTCCGTCTTTCCCCATCCACACTGAGACGGAGCAGCAGCGTTTCAGAATGAAAACGGCCTCTCCAGCGTTTTCGAAACGATCCGTTTTCGGCGCTCGAGAACTCCGGCGTAGTGTGGACGGATGGCGTAACCGTAGCAAAACTTATGCGTTTTCAAACTAAAACGCATTAGTGTAAACGGGGCCTTAGGTTCAAGTCTGGTGAAGCACTGTTCCACAAAATAAATAAAATAAACCTAAAGTCAAGGTAAAACTATGTGGTCGCAGTAAACTTTTCTCTTATGTTTGCTTGCAACACTATTGGTTGGGTTTAGAGAAGGCTTTAGGTTAGTGGTTCAATAGGTGACCTGTATTATAAGCACTGTCGTCTCATGGGTGTGTACAAGAATGTTTAATTGAAAAGTACCATATTTCAGATCCTTAAAAATGTAGACAGCGGCCTTTAGTGGATTTGTTATCTGAAACATGCAACAAAATATTCCCAGAGCAAGGTATTTTTATGGCCCTATCCCAATTCTATCTCTTAGCCCTTCCCCTTCCTCTTACCACTCATATTGCAAGTTTATAAGGAGGGGTAGGGGTGTCCCTAAGGGAAAAGGCTAGATAGGCTAGACCATCTACAACGGCAGCATGGCTTCACACAGAAGTTAGGAGATACACAAATCAGTATTTTTTTGTCATTATTACAAATTTTTACAACAAACAAACACATGTTTAAATACATTCATAACCGTGTACGTATTTTACCATCATGCTAACAAAAAACGATTAAAAAAATGCTAAATTTCGCTATATATAATCTACAATTATAACTACAATAAAGTAGTCCAACAACAAATCTGTCATTCGATGACACTCGAATACCCTGTCAGAAAAGTCTAGTGGCTAGGAATAAGCTTTTTACAGTGTTTGCTATAATAATGTTTTTGTGTGTTTAGATGAATATGGCCACAGTAAAAACACAACATATAGTTACAAACTTATTGCCACATTATATCGTTATGATGATATATTGTTGCCTTTTGTGATTTCCTGAAGATACCAAAATATAACACAACTGGAATAACTACAGCAGACACCATTGTCAATCTCATATGAAGTAAGAGATCGCAATGACATATGATGACGTGTTCAGGTGTTGTGTGCTGTGCCATTTATTAGGGGTAAAATTTGATGCTCTTCTCCCCCACACCTTGTTTTAGGGGCCAAGGGGAAGGGGTAGGGGTACAAAAATAGAACTGAAATCAGGCCTATGTTTTGCAAAAGAGAGAGAGTGGATAATTGACAGAAAAAAAAGAAAACACACAAGAAAACAGAACGATATAGGAGTATACACACTTCATTTCACGAAGTGCACTTTTCTTCCATTGGAGCCATCTAATATAATTTCTCTCCATAGACAACAGATTATTCGGCTATGGCATCTCTGGCTGGCGGATTGGAGGAGATGAAGAACAGCTTAGCCAATCAGACAGGGGCAGAGTTGGGATCCACAGTCGCAGGACCTCAGTCGTATCCACTCGTATCCGGTAAGATATCTGTATGTAAAAATGATTAAATGAAAGCCAACCCTGTGAGGTTTTCAATTCTGTTTTTTTCTCAGATGTTTGCTTATAAATGTGACTCATCTGAACTTTGAAATGCAGTCGATTTAATGTAAGTTCTGCTGCATACTGAGAAAGTATTGCTTTGAGCAGCGATTGATATTAAGCATTAAATATTGTAAATAATGTGACAATAGTTTCAAAAGGTTACTTCTAAACCAATATGAACATTTAAATTGAATCATTTGTGATAAAAAAAAACTATAACAAATGATCATAAGTTCAAGTATAAGTTATCAAGGGATGTAAATAATAACAATTCAGGTAGTCAAAGCAGCAAAAGAACACACAACCAAATAATATGATAATTCATAGACACACATACATAGATGTATTAGCTATAAAGAAGGTCGCACACCAGAAGCGCGCACATGACAGTTTAAAGTATCACACACCAGACGCGCACATTCGAATGATTTTTAACATGAAACTAATCAGATGGCGCTCTGTGGCGCGGCTGAAAAATGAACTGCGTCCTGAGCCATGGCCGACAGCCACCGACTTGCGGCGCCGGTTTGTGTGCCCCGATAGAAACCTATGTTTAAAATTCTCGGCCTGCGAGAAAAAACTCGGCCTGCGGCCTCGTGCCAACGCACGCCTCCCACCAGTGCCGATATACAGCCATATCGCACTGCTACTCATGTGATATTGCTCATATATAAAAGACTTAGTCAAAATATACTTTTTTGAAACTCATCAGATTAATTAATTTACAAAATTAATTTGTTTAACATTATCCAATTTTGTTTATTTATTTGATTTGATTTAGTTTAGTTTTATTTACTTTATTTTTGTATTTATTATATTTGGAATTTAATTTAAATGTGTACTGTATCAGATGATAAATGGTGTTTAATATCACTCTGGGATCATTTTGGAATTAAACATCTGACATATTGGTCGCTTTCAAATTTCACAGTTAGCACATTTAACACAATTTAAATATCCAAATATGTATGTGCTTCCCAGTCTGCTGACATCTGATGTGAGATCTGCAGGGATTTCTGTGTTAAACATGAAGTAGAAGTACCTGATTGTGGATAAGCTGGCTGTGGGCAGCTCAGGGGTGATGAGAGTGTTATCAGACCTGTTAAACAGTGCTCAGTGATTCAGATTCAGACTCAATATCCTGAGGGACAGAGGGAGTGGATGGGACAGAGGGACTGTACAGAGGGACTGTAATTACTATATACACGTCTCCTCCTCTCCCTTACTCACTCACTCCATTTGGGAGTAAGGGAGCGCTAATTAAGTGCTGCTTGGACAGGAGCCCTAACGAGGGAATCATGGAATTGGGATTTGTGCACCATCTGACAAGGTAGAGCGAAACTTGTACATCTAGACAGGGTGTGTGTGTGTGTGTGTGTGTGTGTGTGTGTGTGTGTGTGTGTGTGTGTGTGTGTGGATGGAGAGTAAGCCAGAATGTATTAAAGCCAGCGCTCGTCTCATAATGGACCATACGAAAAGACGAAAAGATTTTTCCTCATGTTTGCATAATGGCGCCCCCTATTGGTAAATTACAAATGGACATTTTATAATTTGCCAAGACTATAAATATTTATCATGATATCTTACATGTTTTTTACACTGTAACAAAATCTAATTGATACTGTTTTGGTAGTACTCTTGTACTCTTGTTTGGACTGTGTTAAAAAGATGTTATATTATGATAGCAAAATTATGATTTAAAAAATATTAATTAAAGGTTATTTTCATTTTCTAATGTAGTTGACTGAAGTAATAAACAAAAATTCCTTACCATTAATTTATTATTTTAAATTCTGAAGTAACATTTGGGCCAACAAAAAAAATTGTCGACTGAAACTGGAACTTAGGGTTAAGCTTTTTTCAGCTTTTTTTCAGCTTTTTCTTTGTTTTTTAGAAAGAGAATAGTATTGAAAATTGACAAAAGCTAGACTTAAACTTGCACTGACCACATAACTACCACTGCACAAAAGCATGTGAACTACCCATCGGACCTCATCCCTACATATTCCAGATTTTTTCTTCAATGATTTTTCAGGCAAGAAAATCTTTTCCTGTCTACCCTCTTTCAGTCTTTTCTCCTTTGACAACATCTCTCAGAGGACCAGGCCTTGTCTGTTCCTCTTCTGAAGAGTCCATTTCTGCTTCTGTCCCTCGCTGTTGCCCTGTCCACTGACCCAGAGTGGATTAGTATCCAGTCTTCACTAATGTCTTCCTGTCACCTAACATGGACAACCAGCTGAATAGAGAGAAAGAGAGTGAGACTGTAAGTGTGTCAGGTCTGGAGATTTTCAATGGTGTAGCCCGATCTCACGACTACTAACTGGGACTAAAAGCGTTAGCATATTATCCCAATATTAGCCTCACTCTACTGACTCCCTGTTTGTTTTAGGATTTTAGGTTTTAAGATTTTACATTGGTTGGCGCCATCTTATTTGATTTAGTTTTTACAATTTTACATGTTTTTGTGACTGAAACTGCATAATTCAAAGTGGAAGTTTTTGAAAATGACGCTGTGGTGTCTGTGTTAAAAACAGAAAACTATGGAGCCAGATAAGTCTCAAAAATGATACATTTACAAAATATAATTCATACATCAACAACACAATTCACGTTTACAAAATCCAATTCGGAAAATAAAAACACCATTCATAAATACACAAATCCAATTCATAAAATAAAATGTATAAATATTTAATTACATTTCGTAAATTTAAAACAGAATTCAAAAATCCAAATAATTTTTGTGCTGTGCACATATGACTTTTATTATGTAAATTTATTTTTGAGACTAAACTGGCTTAGCTAAAACAATACAATTATTAAGTTTTTTTTGGGGGGACAACTTAGTAGTTTTAAGTTCAATCAGCGTACATTTGTTAAAACTAATTAGCTAACTTATGTCCTTTATGTTGTCCCAACACAAACCAATTGTGTGGAACTCAGCATTTATTACAGTGTACATACTTTGTAATGGACCAATAGAGTTATTTGTGACAGCTGAAGACAGCATCCCAGGCTGCTCAGCCGATGCTTTGATTACTGTGTCAGTGTTAGCAGCAGTAGAGTAAATTTTGGAGTAATTGGAGACCTCCATGCTTGGTGTGTTAAAAATTAGACAATGTGAAAAAAATATATTTTATTCATGGTTCTGACACTCTGGCCCCCCATTAGTTTAGTTTTGAATACTTGGTAAATAACATTTAGGAATTTTAAAACAATTATGAATATTTAGTGAATCCAATCAAGCTGAGTGAATAGTTCAATGACTTAAGTCATATAGACTGTCCATTTGTGTAATTTTCAGATTAATTAGTTCTCTTGAACAAACTCATAAAGTCACTTGCTGTAACTGACTGCCATAATTGCAAAAGTTGTTATAATTAAAACTCGCTTCTCACCTTAAAATAAAGAAATTTCATTGGTTAAAAATAGCTTTTTTATGCAAAGTCATATACATTTTTCTTGTCCACGTGACTGCCATAAACAACCAAAAAAGTTGTTATAATTGACACTCTTTTCTCACCTTAGAATAAAGAAATTTTACTGGTTAAAATATATATATATATATATATATATATTTTTTTTTTATCCGAAGGTCATATTAAATTCATTGTCCATGTTTTCTACCCTCTTCCCATTCTCCTAACACTTGTCTTCCTCCTTCGCTAAGTTATTCTCCACCTTTCCTTGGTCTCTCTTCCACCTTCTCTGGTATTCTCTAGCCTTTTTAATCTCCGATAAAGTATTCAGTTTCCTTCTCTGAATCTGTTCTCACCTCCTCCCCCTCACAAGTCTGACGGAGGCTTAAACGCTGCCTGTGTTGAAGGGAATGGATGAACTGAGGGTGATGGTGTTTATTATGATGAATGGGCTGCAGTCCACAGATCAGCACCATGTGCAGACTGAGAGATGATTCACTCTGACAGCCATGTCATGTAGCCTAATACAGTTATAGAGCCATGCAACACACAGAGAAAGGGGAGATTAAGCTAGGGAGAATTAAATTTAGAAAGTGTCCAGTGATTGTTGTGAAATGGACAAGTAAAATCCCTCATTAATATTTTTGTTAATCTATCCTTGTTTGTTTTTATTGAACTAATCACAAGTTGGTACTAAACACACCAAAGATTCAGCAACATACTTGTATAGTTGCTAACAAAGTCCAGGTATATACTTTTTTCTTTCTTTTTTTAAGAACAAAATTTCTTTATTCAACTTTTGCAGTAAGACTAGTTGCACATTAAGAATATTTATTCACCCTCTGGTCCAACACATTTTCGAAATAAATGTTATGTTTTTGTTTAGTTTTTCATCACTAATGTTTGATTTACTGATATGCCTCTTATGCTGAGTTCAGACTGCATGATTTTCAAAATAACCATGTCACTGATGTTTTTACACTGACTTATTACATGTTTCGTCGCTGCTTTGTTTACATTGCAAGATGGATCGGAGACAGGGAATTTCACACTGTATGACTTTACAAAAGGAGAATCGCCGACAACTTTGTCCAAACTACGTCTCTCAACCAAAAACATGTAGTATATATATTTTTTGTTATTAACTACATAATGAGAACGAACCCTTTAATGGGGTGGAAAATGTACATGTTTGCTCACCTGGGTTTGAAAGGAATTAGCAATTTGTCCTCAACTTTTTTTTTTTCGACCTGGTTGTGATATTGCTCAGATTACACGTCAAACAGGCACGGGTGCTCCTGCCAAATTTCCACTAGTTTTTTCCTCCATTTCTTGGGTCCAAATAAGCTGAAAATGAGCGTTTTTAACTTCTCCCCCAATCTTGCTGGCCTGTAGGTACACTTGAAAGTAAATGCTGCTCTCTCATTGGCTGTAGGTAATCGCCAATGTTATTTTCAGTCAAAACTCATTTCACAAGGCATGATTTGAATCGGCAACTGATCCAGATATTTAGCACGCCAAATATCTCACGGGCATTGGCGATTCATCGAAGATTCTCTCAGATCACGTCCGTGATAGTTCATACTGTGTGATTGTTTCTCGCGTAATTGAGCACCGATTTGCTTGTGATTTCAAGCATTTGTCGGAGATTTCTCAAAACCTGTCGGCGAGTCAAATTCGGGTTTTAAATCATGCAGTTTGAACTTCACATTAGTTGATTTAGCAAAGATTTGGCTTATTCAGTTAAAGTTTGCTTGATTAAAAATGACTTATTTAGTGGTGGTAATTCCCGGATATTTGCTGACAATTTTGCAATAAAAAAAAAAAAAAATATATATATATATATATAAATATAAAAAATTATAGAAATATAAAAAATATGTATATAGTCTGACACAAATTATAAGCTTCTATTTTTTTGGTCTCTTGTCAAGACAAGATCTAAAACAGATCTAAACGGTAGGGATTAAGCCAAAAGAAGGTTGGAACTCTTATTTTTATATGATTTCACTCCCCAGAGCATCTGACATCATGTACCTCACTCAGGACATTCGTTAGGGCTTTCCCAACTGTAATACATCTAAAACACGAATTGCTGTAAAACTCGTACTAGGGAAGCGTTTTCTCTTAACTCTAGAGACTGAGTTAAGCGAAAACATTTATTAATGTTACGCACACCCTAATACCATCCATGTAATGGACAATAATGTTCTTCAATTTGGTCAAAATTGCCATCATTGTGAGCTGCTTGCTTTTCTGTCTCTTCCATTGCTCCGTTTGTTGGCTGTTTGCTCCCACTTTCTTTTGCAGTCTGAAGTGCATCAAATGCACAAAATGCTATATTTACACCACGGGATGCCTAATCTAATATTTGCACTGACTTCACATTGCACAAAACAATCCCCCCACACTCATGTAATGATGAACAATGACGTGCACTGCCACATAAAACAATTAATTGTAAACTGAAATAAATATAATTTGATTATATGGTTTGGAATTGGATGTTTTATGAGATTATGAGAGTGTTTTTGCAATTATTTTGCGTTTGAATTAAGAATTTTGCAAGATAACAAAAATTTGTGGCTTTTTGTTGATTTTGCATTGGATTCAGCTATCACGGAATTGTGAAAGACTACAGGGTCTGCATAATAGTTTAGTATATATAGAGTGATTATATTTACTAATGGTCAAGATTATTCGTGGTACCTGGATTAGTCTGATTAGATTATTTGGTTGTTATCTAAGAATAACATACCTCTGCAAATTTTGTGATCGACCAGTCAGAATCAAGTATTCCAGACAGTTGCAGTCAAGTAAAGATCAAAGTTGTATATTTAATCTTAATGTATTTTGAGACTGCTTTAAGACATTTCATCCATGTTGATAAAAAACGGTTGATAAAAAACAGAAAATACTTAAAAACAGATTAGGAATTTATTTTTTTAATGTAGCCGATCACCTGTTACTGTAATTTGTTATTATCATACATTTAGATGTGTTTCGTGACCGTTTATTGTACAAGCAGATTCTGTGTTAGGTCAAAAAAAGCTGATGTTTTGTGTCTGTTAGAATGCATTTGACCACATGAGCATCTACACTAAAAAACCTAATCTGATGCATTTTCAACTACCTGAGAAAGTAGTCAACAGTGTCATCCAGTTTTGATCAGATCAGAAAACACATAAACACATCTAAATACCGGATATATAATGAATCTTCAGTTTCCCAGAACTGGTTTTCCTTTTTTTATCAGATTGTGGCGTAGAGAATAAAGACAGGAGACAGGAAAAATGTACGCTCTACACTAACACTAGATATATCCAGATTCTGTCACACATCAGTGTGTAATTATACCAGAGGCCCTGTTACTGCGACAAAGGCAGATTTGTTATGACATAAAGCAAGATGGCTGTTTTATTACCAACATGACTTCTGCAGTCTACCAAGCTCATAAGAAGGCACTTAGTGAGTTAAAAAGCTAGTTAGTTGCACTGTTTTTTTCAGAAATGCTCTCCTGTGTCCTAACTGACAATATTTTCAGAATCAAAACAGTAATAATCAAACACTTTCATCTGTGAAGATTGACCTTCATTGTTTTTCAGTGTATTATTATTTATTTATGTAAATGTATTTAAAATGTTAAGATCGAAGAAGATACAAAATTGCATAAAGGTTTAAAAATACTTTAATATATTTACAGTGCTCAGCATATATCTAACTTTTAAATTCATACTTTTAATAGGAAGCTATACAATATTAGATATGTGCATATACCTTAAATTAGTCAGTACTGAAGCCAAATCTGGAGCTTATCTAACAAAATAACTTACGATATTGGTCTAAAAACTAGTACATCCAAATTTATGTGTATATGTTAATTCAAAAAAGAGGAAAAATCAAGAGAAACTAAAAAATTAAAAAATTTAGTTGAAATTTTGTAGGTTGCACTTTTTTTTTTTTGCAATATTTTGCTTGAATTTAATTGTATTATCTTTCCATTTTTAGATATGTTTGGTAACTAAAATATTATTTTAATAAATATATCTGTTTAATAAATCTGTTTTGTTTAAATGCACCAAAATGCATTTCCTATATTCAATGAGAAATGGATGCAAATGTTTATTTTCAAAACGCTGTGTACTCAATTATGCTGAGCACTGTAGATATATTGGCTGGATTAGTCCCGTGAACATAAGCCATTCTAGTTTTGACATTTTTTAAAATTAGTCTTTTAATTATTAATTTATTTGACTTAGCATAATGTCTTCTTACCTTCTGTAAATCCATATAAGAATATTATTTCAACATTTATATATTATTTGCCATTTTACACGTCACTTGTTACAATTTGAACAATAATCCAAATGAAAAAACTGTAAGTAAACTGTAGAAATTTAGTGAAGTACATCATGAAATGAAGCACTGTTGTTTACGAATCAGTTTACGTCCATTTAAAAAAAAGCTTAACTTCAAGGTATGGTTTAAATGAACTGAGATCATAAACGTCTGTTGATAGTATTCTCACTTGAAGAGGCTGGAACATGCAAACAGTATCCCCTCACAACTAACAAGCGAATAAAAAGGTTAAAGCCAAGTTTACTGAACAATTATAGATGAAATTGCTGCCACAGAGTCACGGAGAAGTCAGATCAATAAACCCTTCCCAATGGAGTTGATGCTAATCATGCAAGCAATGCTCTTTTATTTTGACAGGTCGTGACCTGGCCAGCACAACACTCCCAGGATACCCTCCTCATGTCCCTCCGACGGGACAAGGCAGTTACTCCACACCCTCCCTCACTGGAATGGTACCTGGTGAGTCTCATACTGAACACACAACCTGATTCAACCAAGTGCAACATCCTGGATCATACTAAAATATAACAAGAATAATCAGATCTGAAGTATATGTTTAGGTAATTTCAAGCGTACAATCAGAGTTTGGTGATTCTATATCATTGGTATTTACACATTAGGTTAGGTTTAGGGGTACACTGTAAAATGTACTGTAAAATTTACAGCACACTTGTAATTATTTATTTACATCACACAACCAAATTTGCTTTTAAGTTACTATAAATTTTAGAGTAGAGATGATGTCTGGGGGGTGGCACGGTGGCACTGTCGCCTCACAGCAAGAAGTTGACATGTCTGTTTGGGGTTTGCATGTTCTCCGTGTTTGTGTGGGTTTCCTCCAGGTGCTCCAGTTTCCCTCATAGTCCAGAGACATGCACTAAAAGTGAATTGGATGAACTAAATACGTTGTTTTCAATCACGTGGTTCTGATGATGCGCGAAAACCAGATTGAGAAAAACTGAATGGGAGACATGGAGGAAAGTTTGTATTTTTGCTATTTATACCATATTTCAAAGGAGATCTAAACAGAAAATAACCACATATGCTGAGCATAAACCTTATATCATGAAGAGGGCCAAGTTTTTAACTGAACTAAAATATATTTGCCTGTCATAAATGCAGTATATACTGTAAAATCACATCACTTGAAAAATACTATAGTTAAATACCATAATACTATTGTAAATAGTGTTTGGAAGCATACTGTAGATGATTACTTGCATTAAACTGTCGCAGTAATTATATTGTTGCGGTAGAACACAACTGTATTAATAAACTAATTATTCAATAGGCTTCAGTTTTTTTACACTATAATCACAATGCACCACAGTTTACACTAACGTTACAATATTTATAACAGTTTTTCAGCTAGTTTCTTGAACAGCTTTATGAGCTAAAACATTTGGAAGTCAATAAAAGCTGGTCGGCAATTCTTATTTTGGCTGATTAAAAGACCACTTCCTCCCCTCCATCTGAATTTCGCACGTCATCAATGATGTCATGTGAAAACAATCTATTGGATGTAGTGTATGAGTGTGTGTGAATGAGTGTGTATGGGTGTTTCCAAGTACAAGGGTTGCTTCTGGAATGGCATCTGCTGCGTAAAACATATGCTGGAATAGTTGGCGGTTCATTCTGTTGTGGCAACTCCTGATAATCAGGGACTAAGCCGAAGGAAAATGAATAAATGATGTAGTCTGGATTAACATTTTTGACAGAAATATGCTGATCTGAAACACGTCATAAAGTAAAATCAGGATGGGTTCCCAATCACATGCACATGCAAAATCAAATGTAAAAGTTTACACACACTTCTCATATACTGTTATACAACAGTTTAAAATAATGAATTTTTGAACAAATAACCTTTACTGTTTTTTTCAAAACATTCTTCAAAACATCTTCTTTTGTGTTTAAAAGAAACTCAAACTCATTTGAAAGCACTTGAGACTGATTAAATTGTCATGTTTTAATCAAGTTTTTTTCATGTTTTTGTTTTTTGGCGCATTGCTAAAGAAGGCAGCGCTGATGAAAATAACAGACAGGCTAATTTCCGTGCATGTGCCACCCTCACTCTTCCGTCTGCAGTCCCTCTCCCTGCACCCCGTTTTCACCTCTGCTTTATTTGGCTTGAGGTCCCAGTGGGAGGGGGTCTTGTCTTTGCCACTTCCTGTCTCCCCCCATCTGCCAGGCTGACAGGCGTCCCGGGGGGGCAGAGGGATGGAGAGGGGGCTGTTGGGCGGTTGGCAGAGTGTGTTTGGCGGGTGGCGACTGGCTTTGAGTCTTCGGCTGGACTATTAGACCCCAGTCACACAGCTGTCCCTTCTCAACATCAGTAATTTGTTTTTAATGAGAATCATCACTGACCCTTGACTAATTCATTCATTCTCCTGCAGACTCCCTCGGCCTCCTTTCTTTTAGGTTTTTTTTTGTAATCCACAGGCCACTTCAGAATCGTAGAAATACACTTGGTTATTCATATTCACAAACACAAAACGCATGTAAATGACTCAGAATGCCGTTTAAATAGATGCATATTTATGTAATGCTAAGTTGAGTCCTTTTTTATCTGAACAGTCATAATTTGAAATGAACTAAAAATAGTCATAGATTTGTTATTAAAATAAGCTTTATTTAGTAACCAAGTTGTTTTGAATGGTTAAGGCTTACTGCTCTTTCGTTCTAGCGTTGGTCAATGACCTACTAAAAATAAAAGTGTGCGCACAACTGAGATTTTTAAATCGATAGTCAATTAACAATATATTATTCAAGATTTTTTTTAATCATTGTTTTAAGTTGATGATATATATAATTTAGAGTTATTGCAGAATAGTAGTGCAGATTTTTATTTCAATTAAGAGACTTGTGTTTATTTATTAATTTAAAAGGTAAAGATTTGAATGGATTTTAGCTAAATAAGGAAACAACTAAAAAAATGTAATTATATTTTAAATAAGTTGATTCATTTAAAAAAAAAATCTGAAACTTTTAAAAATCTGTTTTAACTATTTTATATGAATGTTTGTAAAGCTACTGCTTACAGAAAACCTGTTTACACTTTTATGCCTTAAGATAAACATTCTTTAGGTTTTTTAGTTTTTCGATTCCAGAGACCAGATTGTCAAAAATCTTACATCTTACTATACTTATGTGGACATATGGTCCCCACAATGTTCATACACAAACACATTAGGTTTTTATGTTTTTATGGGAACTTCTTATAGAATATACTTAAATATACTGTGCTTACTGTACATACTGCATTTTCTGATCCTTTACCCAAACCCTATTTCTAAACTCAACCCTTACAGAAAATATTCTGATGTTGATTGAATATTTTCATTCATTCATTAATTTATTCATTTTCTTTTTGGCTTAGTCCCTTTATTAATCTGGAGTTGCCAAACAGAATGAACCACTAACTTATCCAGCATCTGTTTTACTCAGCGGATGCCCTTCTCCCCGCAACCCGAAACATCCATACACACATTCACACACACACACACACACACTCATCCACTACAGTCAATTATAGCAAACCCAATTCACTTGTACCACCTCTTTGGACATGTGGGGGAAACCAGAGCACCCAGAGGAAACCCACGCGAACATTGGAAGAACATGCAAACTCTACAAAGAAATGCCAGCTGACCCAGCCGAGGCTCAAACCAGCAAAATTTTTGCTGCGAGGCGAATGTGCTATCCTCTGCGCCACAGCGTCTCCTTAATATTTTCAGTTATTGTATTTTTAATTGATAGCTGCATGTGCATTTCTATTCTAAAAAGTTACATCTCATCTTACTCTCGTTCCTCATTTAAAACTAAAGCATTGTGCTGAAATTCACTTTGAGCTTTTGTAAACATTAAAGCTCTGCATGCTTTAAATTGATTGGCTGCCACATACATTTTGACACTGATGGCAGCTGTGGAAGCAGGGCTGGTGCGTCCATAGAGGCGACCTAGGCGGCCGCCTAGGGAGGCAAAATAGAGAGGGCGGCGTCCACGACACGTCCCTCACCACCCGCATCCTCAGCAGTTATATCCATGCCTAGGGTGGCAGAATAGAGAGGGCGGCGTCTGTAACACCTCCCTCACCATCCACATCCTAAGTTACAGTATATCCGCGAACCCCTTTCCTCCTCCTCCTTGTAATGAAGGGCCCTATCAGACACCCATGTTTGGTGTGACTTGTTGCTATTTTCAGACCAGCGCAACCCTAATTTTCACACTTTGCTCCACGTCTTTAAAATAGAAAATCCATTTGTGCCACTGTCGACTCATGGGTGTGCCAGTCTAAAAAGGAGGTGTGTTAAGGCACATTGTTGACATGTTGCTATTTTGAGGAACTGAAATCTGACCACTGAAAGCTGGTCTAAAGTCCAGCAAAGACCGTGTTAGTCCAAACGCTTACACATTGCTTAATACACATAGAATGTGCAGCAATACACAAATATCTTTATATGTGAAAAAATTTTTTAAAGAATAAAATGTTACAAAAATGATTATTTTCTACATAAATATAAAAAGTACCTAAAATGCCTTCTTCATGTCGTTTTTTTTTCTGTTTATGCATGACAATTTGCATTTGTATAATTTTATTATTATTATCAGTATTATTTATTTTATGCATATTTATATTTGTTTTAATAAAAACCAGTTTAGATTTGTTCACCTGTCGGATTTTGGAGATGTATGCATTACTATATGGGGCATAAGAATAGGACGTGTGTTTGGTTAAAACCAGACCACACTTTGTTATTATTTTCATTATTTGTTTGCTGGAAATTAGAACTGAATTTAGAAACAGTTTTGAAACAAATCTTTGGGCTCAACAAACAAAATTAAATATATAGACTAATAGATGTCTTCAATGGAGTGTGTACAACACCATTTTCTTATCCACGAAAGTAAAGGAGTAAAGTAAAGAGTAAAAGTAAAGTAAAGAGAAAGTAAAGAAGCAGAATGGAAGAGGCTCATTCTTTATTTTCACACTACAGATGGTCTGTTTAACTGTTTTTCGCCAGTGAAGCATTAATTTTTTCTGCCATGTAAATTTCAAATGCTGTATAATGCAATGCAACTGACTCTTAAAGAGAATGTGAGATGAGATTCTGATTGGTTTAATGCACATTATGCTCAAAACACACCCATAGCTCATTAAGAGAATAAGTACAACCCTGTTAGACCATGCGCCAAGGCACAGAGCGTATTTTTCCATCTTTAGAATAGCAGAAGTGGATTCGAACACGCCCTTAATGCTTTTGCGCCATTCGCTTTAGACTTTGTTTCTAGATCGTTAAAATAGAGCCCAAAGAGTTGGGATGCAAATGATGCAAGAGTTTATTAGCATTTTTCTTAGACTCCTGTGTGTAAGTTTAGCAATTTCACTTTTAGGCAATAAATAGGTTATTTTCATTTGCTTTAAACTGAAAAAAGTGAATAACATAAACATAGAAACCTGAGAAATATTCAAAATGTTTTATCTTTTACACTGAACAAAACAATTATTACAAAATAATACACATTACTGTTAATACTGAAATGTTATGATTTGGTTTATAATATAATCAATTACTGTAACAGAGGCACAAGATGGCACCATCTGTTTTTGTTTTAACAGGTTCTTACTGTTTGTTATCAGGCTATAAGAAAACACTGAATGGCACAACATGATTTCACAATACACAAAACAAGCAAAATTTGATATACAGATTCACAAATTACTTATTGTAATTATTATATTTTAAAACACACAAAAAAAAAGAAAATGGGATCTGGACCACAAAACCAGTCATAAATGTAATTTTTTTTTTTAAATGTCAAATAAAGTTGATTAATAAGTTTTCTATTGATGTATACTAGGACAATATTTAGCTGTGATACAACAATTTAAAAAATCTAAATACTGAGAAAATCACCTTTAAAGTTATCTATATGACGTGCAACACTTTTACTTGTTGTCAGAAAAGTGGCTAATTCATTCAAATTCATACAGTTTAGATTTGTATGAAAACAAAACATGCTTAAAAAGTATTAGCTCCCAAACCCTACCCCTAAACGTAACCATAACAGGGGGATGAGCAAATTAAACTCCAAATTGCATTGCAAAAATCCACACAAATTATCCACCCAATCACAAAGTTACAAACTGCCACAAGGTTACATTGGGAACAAGTATGTGCTTGCTACAATATCAAGTCCAAGAGAACACAATCAAACAGATGTATATGGAAACTCTGCTAGGGCAACAAGACAAATAAAGTGGTATAAAAAAACAACAAGAGCTCAGGGATGAAGGACTGTTCACCAACCCTTGTTTCAACTCCCTGAACGCAGCAAACAAACCCAAGCCCAAACAACAACAACAACAACAACATGTCTCTTGTCGTGTCTCGAGTCTGTCATGCGGGCGTCTCTGTCGGGTGTCTCGGTGACTCGGAGGGTCTTGTCGGGTCCCTTCTCTTCAGAGCAAGATCCGTAACCTTGTCTCGTATTTCCCTGCGACTGAATCCCCCATGTTTCCCCCACTTCTGACAAGCATTTATGACCTTGCAACCCATCTCCCTCGCTGGGGAGACCCTCTTTTCTTCCCTGTCCATAAGTCATTCCCCTCGTTTTCTCCAGCCTCTTCCCTAAACAACCTGACACTCGCGCTGTAGGAAGAGAGAGGTAATCACACCAACTGTCCCAACTAAGAGCTTGCTGAAGGTTAAGGGCATGAACAGATGTGGACTTTAGATGATCTAATTTCATTTATCTCATTGTGTGTTCAAGTTGCCACTGTTTGATCATTTCTGTGTATCTGACCCTAGACCAAAAGATCATTATTATCAGTCTTATGTTGTACAGGTAAATAAAAAAAAATGCAAGTGAAAATGACTGATTTATTAATGGTAAAACCATCAGAATATTAGGAAAAGATCTTGTTAATAGACATTTTGTAAATGTCCAATTACTGTATATTTACATCAAATCTCATTTTTTGATTAGTAATGTGCATCGCAAAAAACTTAATTTGGACAAATTTTTAGGCGGTCCCAATATTTTGACTATTTTAAGCCTCAGAATTCAGATATTCATGTAGTTGTATCTCATATTGTCATTTCCTAACAAACCATATATCAATGGAAAGCTTTTTTTTATTCAACATGTGATGTATACATTTCAATAAAAATTTGCACTTATGTTGCACTTTTGCATCGTGCCATGCGCATTTGCTATTTACACGGCGGATTTTGTAAGTGGCAAAACTGAATGCTTCACTGGCGAGAAAACAGTTAAACAGACCATCTGCAGCATGAGGACAAAGAATGAGCCTCCTCCATTCAGCTTCTTTACTTTTTATTTGACTTTTACTCTTTACTCCTTTACTTTCGTGGATAAGGAAACGGTGGAAACCCAGACCACTGAAGACATCTATTAACCTATATTAATTTAATTTGATAAGTGCAAGGATTTGTTTTAAAACTATTTCTAAATTCAGTTCTAATTTCCAGCAAGTGAATAAATGAACAATAATAACGAAGTGTGGTCAAAAAACTGAGCTATATCCAAACACACATCCTATTCTTATGCTCCATATGGTGATGCATACATCTCCAAAACCTGACAGGTGGACAAATCTAAACTTGTTTTTATTAAAACAAATATAAATATGCATATAAAAAATAATACTACTAATAATAACATTATACAAATGCAAATCGTCATGAATAAACTGAAAAAAAAGCCCCCAGACATGAAGAAGGCATTTTAGGCAGTGATTTTTATATTTTATGTAAAAAATAAAAGTTTTGTAACATTTTAATCCTTTATTTTTTTATATGTAAAGATCAATTTGTATTGCTGTACACCCTATGTGTATAAAGCAATGTGTAAGTTTGGACCAGCATAGTTGCATATCTAACGCTCCCTGTGCTGGACTTCAGAACAGCTTTCAGTTCCTCAAAATAGCAATACGCCAAAAATGTGCCTTAACGCCTTTTTTTTAGACCAAAATGTGAAAATTAGGGTTGTGCTGGTCTGAAAATAGCAACAAATTTCGCCAAACACTTCTTGCGCCGGGTTTATGGGGCCCTATATCTCGCAATGTGACATTTCTATCCTTCAGACATGCCATTTAACTTTTAATTTGATATTTTACACACCTTGCATTGATCCATTTCCTTTAAGTCAATCAAAGAAAACTTTTTTTTTTAAAGTTCAAAAAAATCTATCTACCACCCAACTAAAATAAAGCGTGCGTGCTTCAAACTCCTATTCATGCTCTCAGTGTAATATAAAAATATCTGATATATAAAAAAAATTAATTAGCAGTGCTTTTTGTTCTCTCGCTATATTTCTAAGATCCTCCACCTCCACTTATCACTGTTTTTTCCTCTCCTTCTCTTTGGTTGTGTTGCTTTCTCTCTTTCAGCAGGGGGTCTGACACACACACTCACGTATACACACACACACACACACACACACAGGGGAGGGTGCACAAAACCAGCCAGGCAGAACCGACAGAGCTAGAGATGGAGAGAGAGAGAGAGAAAGGGAGAGAAAGAGAGAGCCGGGCCTCTGATTTTGTGACAGCCAGCAAAGGGAAAGTGTTCCCCTGGGAAAGGGAGAATGAAGAAGACTGGAAAAGAGGGAGAGAAAGAGAGAGGGAGATAAGAGGAAAACTACACTGAAGCAATGGAGGAGAAAAACTGTCACAAATCGACACTTCCACCTAGCCAATTGGATCGGTTAGACGCCTACAAACTGCACGCACGTTACGGGATGTAAAATCCACTGGCACATGTACACATCTAACATTTCTGTTGTGTTTTCTAACATTTCAGGTGGAGATTTCTCTGGCAGTCCTTATTCCCATCCACAGTATTCAACATACAATGAGTCTTGGAGATTTGCAAACCCAAGTCTATTAGGTAAGGACTAGATGAGTGAAAAGATGAAAAAAACTTGCTCTGGTGATGCGTTTATAGTGATGGATTTAAAACAGGGGTCACCAATCTTGGTCCTGGAGGGCCGGTGTCCCTCATGGGTTTTGCTCCAACTTGCCTCAACACACCTGCCTGGGTGTTTCAAGTATACCTAGTAAGGCCTTGATTAACTTGTTCAGCTGTGTTTAATTAGGGTTGGAGCTAAAATCTGCAGGACACCGGCCCTCAAGGATCAAGTTTGGTGACCCCTGATTTAAAAGTATAATTCAGCCGAAAGAAAACTTTAGCCATTGTTTACTTATAATTATGTGGAAGTCAGCTTGTAACGCAGACTAAACATCTACATTTCACATCTTTTAAAGCAATTACAATGATTTGTTGGGGCAGCACGGTGGCTCAGTGGTTAGCACTGTCGCCTCACAACAAGAAGGTCACTGGTTCGAGTGCTGGCTAGGCCAGTTGGCATTTCTGTCTGGAGTTTGCATGTTCTCCCCATGTTGGTGTGGATTTCCTCTGGGCGCTCTGGTTTCCCCCACAGTCCAACAACATGTGCTATAGGTGAATTTAATCAATTAAATTGGTCATAGTTTATGAGTGTGTGTGTAAATGAGAGTGTATGGGTGTTTCCCAATACTCGGTTGCAGCTGGAAAGGCATCTGCTGCGTAAAACATATGTTGGAATAGTTGGCGGTTTGTTCCACTGTGGCGACCTCTGAAGTAGAGACTAAGTTGAAGGAAAATGAATGAATGAAAATGATTTGTCCTCATTTAATATTCATTCTCAATTGTGAACTGGTGACTCATGCAAGAACCAATAACCATGGATTAGGTTTGCATGGTTTTGTGTAAAGGGAAGATTACTGTTAAATTTAACATTGGTATGCTTTTGTATAACATGGATAGGCCCACACGGAATCTGTGCATACAGAAATCTGCAGATTTTTTGCCTATCATTGAGTCCATTTATTTATTTATGTAAATGTGTGTCAATTTATATTTATACAGTTGTTAAGTTAATTTCACTAATATTATTGTCTAATATGAAAATTGTCATTTGGTATATCTACAATACAGTTTGTAAAGTAATGTGTTTTTTTAGTTTATTATATGAGAGATTTGCTTTGCTTACCAAATAAGTGGATCTTATTGGATTTGCATTGTAAACCTTAAATAAAAGTTTTAAAAATAATTTTTTTATTTTATTTCATATATTAAGTTTTTAGTTATGGTTCTCCCAAAATCTTTCCACATAAATACACAGATTTTATTTTATTATTAATGGGGTTTGCCCTTAGGCAAAGTCCATTCTTACTATTGTGGTTTATTATTCTTAATTCTGCCAAAAGTTCGGCGCGTAACTTGTCCCGCAGCTTTCGCCCCAGACCCTTGAAAGTGGTGTCAAATCGTCCGGTTCTATCGGGAATGGTGTGCTATGACTTTTATAAGCGGTGGGGGGTTTTTTGGCCCCGCAGGGGCCAAAAAACCTGCCCAAAAATCCCATAGACTTAACATTGAGCCGAACTTTGACGAATCACAGCGCCGAGAGTGAATTTCATAGAATTATGGGATTCACAGCATCTGTAGGGGGTTGCAGCCTAAGTGAGAACATACCTCGCAAGGGGGTATAAGTTGCACCTCTGGGGCTCTAGGACGTCCCAAAGTTCTCCCATTGACTTACATTGGCCCCATTGACTCCCATTCATTTTTCTAGAAGAGCACTAAACGCGCCGCGAAATGGGACGACCTTTAAAGCGTTGTAGCGCCAAGTGTGAAATTCGTAGAAATATGGGATTCGCAACATCTGTAGGGGGTTGCAGCCTATATGAGAACATACCCCAAAAAGGGGTATAAGTTGTACCCCTGGGGTGCTAGGACATCCCAAAGGGGTCCCCATTGACTTAACATGGCCCATTGACTCCCATTCATTTCTTGACTCACATGTCAATCACATTACATAGCAGTGTCATACAGACTTGAGGGTAGGCTTATTTGACTGAGGCAACCAATCAGCATCTCAATATGATTTTGAAGCTCACAAGCCACGCCCCCCCAAACCACTTAAAGACCCCTAATAAGTGCCCCATTGACTTAACATGGGGTGGGATGTCCCATTGCAGATCCCATTGACTTCAATTATAAAGTTCACACATCTATAACATTACATAGGAGTGTCATAGAGACACAGGGGTGGGCTCATTTGACTCAGACAACCAATCAGCATCTCAGTATGATAATGAAGCTCACAAGCCACGCCCCCAAACTGGTCCCATAGACTGCCATTATAACTGGCCTACATGCATATCTTTGCTTAGCAGTGTCCTATTGGCTTCAGGGATGGCTCATCTGACTCAGACAACCAATGAGCATATCAATATGATAATGAATCTCACAAGCCACGCCCCCAAATTGATCTCATAGACTGCCATTATAACTGGCCTACATGTATATCTTTGCTTGGCAGTGTCCTACTGACTTGGGTGTTGGCTCATTTGACTTAGACAGCCAACCACATTCAAGTTCACTCTGTAACCTCGCCCATAGCAACAAAACAGAGTACCCTAGCAACCAATCATCAACAGCTATATCTCAGCATCGGAACATCGTAGAGACTTGGTGATTGGCTCGTTTGAGTCATGCTAGCAAACGGAACTTCCTGTATGCTACACATGCTAGCAGTGACTAGCTACATGCTAATATTGACTAGCCAAGTACTGTAACTTGCTAGAAATGCTTACTAAGTATAAATATTTCATCAGGCATGTATGTGAGGCTTGCCTAGTAACCACCCAGGGTACCCTAGCAACTGCCTAGCAACCACCCAAATTACCCTAGCAACACCTTAGCAACCACCTAGCAACCACTTAGGACACCCTAGCAACCACCTAGCAACACCTTAGCAACCACCTAGCAACCACTCAGGACACCCTAGCAACCGCCTAGCAACGCCTTAGCAACCACTTAGAATACCCTAGCAACCACCTAGCAATACCTTAGCAACCACCTAGCAACCACTCAGGACACCCTAGCAACCGCCTAGCAACATCTTAGCAACCACCATTTCTTACCTTTCCAGTGCTATTGCCCAGTTTAGTACCATTTTGTACCCCATCGATTTGCCACGCAAACCCCATTCACATTTCCTTTAGGAAATGTACAATTCTAGTTATTATTATTATTTTTTACAAAATTCTGCACAGAAAAATCAATATATGTCAGCAAATTCAGTCTGGCCCTATTTTGGCTACACTAATGTTTAAAGCTTTTGAGAAAGAAAATATGGTAATACTTTAGTTTAGGCCACAATTCATGCACTTCTGGCTTATTACCTGCCTCTTAATAAGATATTAACTGTTTATTAGTAGTTATAAAGTATAATCTAATCCTGCAATCCTACACTAAACCTAAACCCAACCCAACTTCCACCTCACTAATAATAAACAGCTAATTAGTAGTTAATTGAGCAAGTAGAGTTAGTTAATGTTTTGCTAAAACTGATTTGTGACCTAAATTAACTTGTTACAGAAAATATTATTGCTATCTGCTGTGAATTATACATTACCTGATTTATATTGTTCAGTGTGTGCTTTGTTTTTTTCAGTGTTTCAGCAGGAGTACGGTTCATTACTAGGCTCAGAGAGAGCAGCGTCATCGGGACTATTTCCTGGTCAAACCCCACAACCCACAGGTATTAAAACAGCCATTAGATGAAAGAGTGAAATATGTGCCTCAGCTTTTTTGCAAAAATGTTAAAAACTTTGCTCCGGGTACATATAGTTGCACATTTTAGATGACAAATGTACTAGAGGGCGCTGTGTACATTTTTGCAAATCTGAAATGTGTTACTCAGGGTACTTTTTTTTTGTATGTTTCAGATAAACGTTCTTCTTGTACACATCTATGAGAAGGTGTTGCTTGTTGTACATATCACCTTGTGAACCACTGACCTAAACCCTTCCCTAACCACCAATAGTGTTTTTAAAAGCAAACATAAGTTTACATGCCACTTTATCTCTTTAAAACTGTGCTTTACCAGTATCAAACACGAGAGCTCGGCATCACAAGTAAAACACTGAACTTATTGCTAGAAATTGCATTTCATAAAAATGTAGGCTGAAACACATATTTCATGTTTGGGTGGTTTTTGCGTGTTGAATTTGTTTGTATGTGCATGTGGTGACCAGAATAAGTGGTTTAGAAGAACCTCACCGATCAGTAAAACCACATTCTGACACATCAGTCAAAAGCAAGGTGAAGGGCCACTGACTTAAAAACTGTTATATGTGTGTAAGAAAGAGCTACAGCGCTGACCTTAGAGTTCCCATTGGGGAAGGCATTCCTTGGGGATTTTATGGTTCTGTGGTGTCAAGACAGAAACCCTGATCTGACAGAAGTTTGACAGTGTTTGTGTGAAGTGATATATGACAAAGTAGACTGTCTAATAGGGCTAGGCTATATAGTAAAATATAAAAGTCAAATAGATAAGATATATGTATTTGCTTGTTAAAAACTGATATTCTTCCAAATGCAATTTCCACTACATGGCTTAACTTCTAAAGCAGATTCATTTAATCCTTCTAGGACGTAAAATGCCGTAATTGGTGGAAAATGTTTTAGATTTGAAATCTATTTGCTGCATTTAGCAAAATCAATAAGCATTAAACATTATACAAAATCCAGAAAATAATTAAGCTGTTTATAATGGTACATTCTGCCAAAAATTATTCCGGGCTACACTCAATAAATGACTTTAGCTGCTTGTTCAAAGTACTTGTTTAAAATAAGTTGAACAAAATTCTTAAAAGATTGAGTTAATTTCAGCAATTCATAACTTTTTGATTAACTTTTTGATCACATATAGGGCCAGTGTTTCCTTTACATATATTATTGAGAACATTACATATTCTATTTTAAAACATAAAATCTCTTACAAAAGCTAACACGTATTCTTATATCATATATAAATTATATAAAAAATAAAAAAATAATGAGGCTGTTAATTAATGAACCGGCTATTAAGAAATGAAGTTCAATATTTATTATTTATTATGAAATGAAAAAAATCCTACTTTAATAATAATACTAATAATATTAATGATAATGATGAATATTATTATTATTAGGTGTTGTTTATTGAATTTTTTTTTGTTTTTGAAAAGTCCACTTTTATCATTTGACACATTCAAACAACTGCAGAAATGTTCTACCCAACAGGCCCATGTCATGTTCAGTACAGATACTTGATAAACAACCTGTAAATTAAAAGCATTAACGTATGCTGTTTTTTGTTTTCACAAGCTTTGGAGGCATAACATAAATTACGGTTTTAAATAATAGGTCACCTATAGCTTTCGTCATAAGGCTGTGTTTAAAATGACATCAATGTTTTCAAAGAGTTGTGCGAAGGGAGCGCAATTGTAAACACGAAGATGGCTAAAACTGAACTGTAAAAATACATTGAAAGCAAATTACACCTAAGAGTGATGACATCAATGCTTTTTAAAAAAAATTATTACAAGTTTAAATGTTAGAATGTTCTAAACGAATAGGGCATAGGGGGGATAACTGGGAATAGAACTACAGCTCCAGAGGTGTAGATGCAAGCATAGAAGTTTGCGAAGCAGTTTGTGAATGTTCGTTGAAACGATGGATTTGGGAAACGCTAAATCAACGAACTATGTTTGTAACGACAGAACTTGTGACCTTAGTTGGCTAACGATGGTTTTCGGAAACGCACCCCTAAGCAGATTTTCTGAATCTTTTTGAATTTACTGAATCTCCTTTCTTTCTTTTCATACATGACCATTATTTGTAGTTGTTGCAATATCCACAAGTGTCCTATTAGTCATGGATTCTGACCATTAAATAAAATGACATTTTATGACATACTGTACAATATTTTCTGTATTTCACTTTCATTTTACAAGGCAAACACATCTTACAGAGAAAAATAAACGGAAAAGCATAGGCTGCTTCCAGTGATGTTATAAGCTCTTTAAGGAGCCATCACTGTCAATAAAGAATCTTTATTTTGAAGAGTGCATGACATTTTGATATACTTCACACTTTCAAATGTTTTTACAGCAACATAAAAGCTACTTAATCACACTCACCCTGTCTTCCTCCAGTGAAGAGAAATGCACACATCCACCATATTTCTCACAATTTTACTCTTTTTACTCCAGCAACAAAGACTAAGTAGCACATCTGTCCTTCCACTATGTTATACCCCACACTCATGCCTGCTGTCTAAAGTTAATGAAGAAAAATAATCCCTGCTCAAACTAACTATGATACTGAAGCCATTTCATTATTGAGGGGCCATCAGCACTTAATGCCAAAACAGACTGATCAGGATGAATTGTGAGCCTTATAGAGCAGAAATGGTCTTTTCCAGGAGGAAACTGAGCTGATGATGATGGTGTCATTTCATATAAGAGGAAGGGTGACATGATTGTGGTGGACTGATAAATCAAAGTACTCTAGCCTGCACATACATCAAGGATCATATAAATCTTTTTTAGATTATGCATTGCTTTTTTAATTTTCCTTTAAGATTTTAGTTTAACTTGAGGGAGTGAATATAAAACAAATGTAATAGCAGAAAATTTAGTTGTGTAAGATGACACATAAATATTCTTTGGTTCAAAAGATATTCAGTATGGACCATTAAATTGGTCAAAAATGTATCTAGATAGCCCACCAGGCACGCTGTTAAATTTTGGAAGCTAAAAAAAACAATAGCCCCGGGACTTTGGGCTACCAGATTTTAAGAGCATAAGAGCCGTTTTCATTGAAACTTGCACAATTATTATGCATCACAATGCATTTGCTGACCTATATTTGTGTTGATTTTTTTTATTTACCCTGTTATAGTGTTACCAAAAGCTTGAGTTAATTCTCAACCTAATCCTGATTCTTGGAAACTTTGTAAACTAAAAATGTTAAATAGGAAACATGTTAGGATCATTGTTATTGTTAGCATCCCTCAAAATGGTCTATAGTGAGGTTACACCTCCCATGGCCAATATCTTTATAATGTCCAATAGCTGCCATGTTTTTCTAAAATCTAGATACAACAGGGCATTTATTGTTATTGGTGCACTTTGGACAAAGTTCCTATTTGGTTGCCTAGTTACAGCTGTGTTTTTTTAATGTTACGTTACGATCACATGGCTAAACCATGCTTATTAATGTGACCTGAGATCGACTTTGGACTTTTATGACGAGTTTGGTGACAATATCAGTTATGTGGATATTTGATACAAGTGGCCCTGCCACTATTGAATATTTCAGGCTCCTGCTGTGAACTTGGATGTTTACCATTTTTTTCCCCTAAAATTAAAAAAACATTTGAAGCTTTGGAAATGTTAAACATGAGTCTGTGGTATGTATTTTTGTAGTTATGTAGTGCCACCGACAGGGCAATCAGAGCAATTCCTGCTGTAGACATGCAAAATCCTAACAATCCAACAGGGTTTCAGTGCTTAAAAACAAATTCAAAATCTATAACTAAAGATACCTATAATGGTATCTCAGTGATAGTAAATTAACAACAGGGGCTGTCATTTTGACTGTTTTTAAAAGTTGCAATTTAATAACTTTGTAATAAAACAGAACTCATATAATTATGGTACCCTGGCTTTTCCTTAATATGGGTATATTTCATTGTTATTTTATTACCATTGAATGGCCATAATGGGCATAATGACTAACTGCACGCCTTTCATTGTCTGCTACATTTTACAGTGCCTTTGAACATATGAGACTATGTTGCCTAACAAAAAAAGCCTAAGCATTGCTTTCTGATAAAATAAACATGACTTTACTTCAGACGTGCCTTTTAAAACAACATTTTCATTGCGGTGAAAAAACCTTGCTCTCTTGCTTGCTGGAAAAAGCAAGGAACATACATTTGCAAGTGAACTAGTGCACAATTATAGGCTTTATTGCATTAAACTATTGAATTTATAGTGTAATGGCATCATAAAATATGACAACAGACATTCAAAGCTTAATTTTTAAATCTAAACTAATCTATTTCTAAAATATAAAAATGATGTTACAAAAATTAAATTCTTACAGCCTTAAATGAACAGTCAGAAGGACGGCTATGGCTATTTTAGCAGATCTGGAATCTACCAGATTCCAGATCTGCTTCTGCATTTATATACCAGAAGCTTATAATTCTGATGACTGACAGTTTTTTTTTTTTTCATTTCCCACTAGGATCTCCATATTACTATAGCGCAGCCACACGAGGAGCAGGAACGGCTGCCACCGCAACTGCCAGTGCTTACGATCGTCACTGACCACGGACAGAGACGTGGAGGAGTGGGAGGCACGAAATAAACAAAGAGGAACAAAGAAAAGGGTTTGATAGCACCCACACAAGACTGCCTGCGTATGGAAGAAAAGAAGAGGAAAAAATCAGAAAGAAAGAAGAGGTGACAATGTTTTCCTGCCAATTACAATCAATGGTCCAATCAGTAGCTTCATCTGATGTGTCTAATTTCTGTTCATTAGTGGAAAGCAAACCCCCATTCACCTGTATCCCTGTGGTCTCAGCTCACACTAAATCTGTTTATGCTTTGATTTATCTTCTGTCATTAAAGCCTTGCTTATCCTATCGTCTTTGCATCTCTATGCAGTCTGTTCTAATAGAGATGATCAGGTGTTGGGAGTTGGTACCAGACAATCTACTAGTGGCAGCTTGAGATGACTTACACAGTTTGAGTTCATATCATCAGTTTGAATGTGGCATCGTGCGAAAATCATCAATTGTTTTGAGAGAACCTAAAGTGAAAGGAGATTCAGAAGAGTCAGACAGATAACTCAGGTCGGAATATTGGCATTATTTACCATAAAAATAGCCAGCGTGAAGGGCAGACCCATTTCACTATTGATCATGGGACGCTTCTATTTGAAACTGTAGTGTAATTACGGTCGATTCAGGAGAGATATTAACTGAAAGATGCTTAAATGTGTAAGCACAGCCCTCAGTTTTAATCTAAAACCATTTATGGACTTGAAAATAAGGGCATTTTAGCATCAGCTACGGCTAAAAGTGGGACTGTTTTGTGTAATATGTTGGACATTAGCAGCATGTTGTCGTCATGAATGAGAGCTTCGGTATTTTAAAGACTCCTCTCCTTCCTCTGTGTAGATAAATACTATTTACGTATGTACAGAGTACTCTTATTCAGCTGTACATTAGTAAGATTTATAGCTATTTATGATGGAGAGTAATATATATAATTGTGTGTCAAAGTTTACTGCAGACTAATGCTACAATGCTACTGCTAGCTAAAGATGTTGCTGTGGAATTTATAGCCGGTTCTCTTTTCAATCCCTAATGATTCATTCCAAATGCAAACCAGTTCCAACTATAAGAGCTTGCTGGCATTGAAGGGCTGGCAAACTTATTTTAGAAGGGAAGAACAGTTAGCGATGCTAACTTCCCCAACAGGAAGTAACGTCATACTGTCTGTCCCTTCAAATAATCTCTTTAGCCTCCCCAAAGAAACTCTTCAGTAGTGCAAATAGACACTCTTAAAAGCACAACGTGATAAATCTGTTATCCGGATGTGATATTTTTGTTCTCTCCGAGTGTTTTTATTTCGTTTTTTGAGTATTCCATTCATTCATACTGCGCCAAGACAATGCATGAGACCAAGGTGGAGGCCTTACCAAACTCTCTATGTAGCAACATCACACTGTACATTCTTCCTGTTCGTCTGTCTGAGATATCCTGTACATCTATCATTTACAATGACAAGAGCTTTTGATATCATTATTGACTGATATATTGATATCTAACTTTAGATTCTAGTAGAAGAGAAAAGACAAATGTGTGCTTTATTTAGCTATTGTCTGTGATGAGTGTTCCCAGTTATTGATTTCCTTGTTTTTTCTTTTTCTTTTCCTTCAATACACTGTGCATTGCTGAGTAGCTTTTGAAAAAGGAGAACACTGTAGTTTTAGTAGTGAGTCACAAGCACCAAAACTTTGATGTGAAATAAGAAAAAAATGACAAACTTATGAATATATATATACATACACACACACACACATATATATATATATAGAAGTTGATAGTTTTTATGTTGTTGCTCTGGACTGTAAAGTAGTTATAGGATTACGTTTGTAGACCATAAGTTGCGCGTCATGCAACTCTAAAGAAACCCTTGATGCCGTTCACCACTAAGGACTACTGGTGAACTTTGACCTTTTAAACTTTTAGTCAGAGGCATTATGAACCTGAAGTACACCAGCTGAAATCAAGGACAGTGCCTTTATTTTTCTACCGAGTCATCCAGAATGACCACGAGTCACTAAATTCAGAAACTGTCTGCATGACGTTATTAGATCAAAGCTTGACCGACCAATCAACAAACAAATGCCGCTGCCCACATATTTTTTACATGATAATTTAACCAACTATTTAAGATCCAGCAAACAAACGTGAGGCAAAAATACTTATATTCTTTACAATTCAACAGTTTATACATAGTTATTCATTAGATACAATTTTTTTATCTTATTAATCCTTACCTTCACCATAGAAACAGATTCAGACGTAATAATTTTACATATTATGAGGGGAGGTTTACACGACTAAAATTAAAAATAAAAAGTTTTGTGTGTTTTGGGAGCCTGAAAAGATACATTTTTTGGCGGTTTCAATGAGCACATTTTTTTCAATTATACATTCATCATCTTTGCGCTAACTACAAAGAGACAAATTTGTGAAAGCAAATTTGTGAATTTTGTGACAATGCGCCAGTTCTTGATAACCAAAACAAAATGGTGGACAACAGGACAATATGTGCTCAGACAAATAGGCTGTATCCGAAATTGCTTACAACTCAGTAGGTACTGCATTTGAATTTAAATGTACTACTCTTTAAGAATCATGAATGTGAGCAGTATGAGTTGAACTCGGACGTACTACATTCGCCCTTTTGTTACCATGACGTGACCTATCCACATCAGTTTCGTCGCTTAAATTCATGAATTCTCTCGCAAAGCATATTGGGATGGTGTATCATCCATCAGATGCGCACTTCAGAATCTCGGCGGAAGTAATAGGTCATCCGGGTGTTTCTCACATGTTGTTTTTCGAATTTGGACCTACTACTCGGCTCGCATATTGTTTTTAGTGTACTATATAGTATGAAAGTATGCGATTTCAGACGCAGCCATAGTGTTTATTCACGAAGTGACATCGTCAACTACTGGCCAGGCTGTTATTTGCCAGGCTGTTATTGAAAATAAATGACTTTTTGATGACTTGCCCTTATAAAAAAAGATGAAAAATTCATACAGCATTTTAGTCATTATTTTAGATCAATGTAAACGAGGCTCATTTTGAAAACACCTGCATTCAAAACCTTTTATATTCTTAGTACATCATTGTTGTGTAAACTTACCTTGAGACCCAAAAAGCATTCTTATATATATTTTTTTTCTTTAATTTTAAAAGTATAGGGTACTATTAACTCCTGATGGTAACATTAATTTCCTTCTCTTAAAGAAAAAGTTCATCATCATTGACTCACCCTCTATTCATTCTACACTGTTTTACCCATATAATGAATCAAAAACAACTCTGGAACACAATGATTTCATTAGCCACATTTACACTGACATGTCTTGTGGCCAATTCCATGCCCAAAAAGAGATTTGAATCTGAAGCAAGCACTTGTGGGACAGCATTGTAATGTACCACCCAGACAATGAGCTAAAAGAGATCTGCAGTTTTACAGTCTTTTATTGCATTCAACTCTTTCTGTCTCATACGTCACTAAAAAATAGCAGTTTCCATTTTCAAACAAATCAAATACTTGTAGTTGACACTGGTCGCCTCATGGGGACATACACCACCATTGCATTTTGGGTGTCCTGAGTTTGAGTTCCCCCTTTCCTGTCCAGCTACCGTCCTTAGATAAAAATTTTAAAAAACGTGAAAAATAAATTAAAGTTTAGTCAACCCAAAATTTAAAATTCTGTCAATAAGTACTCACCTTCTTGTCACTCCAAATAACCAAGACCTTCATTCATATTCTGAACACAAGAGCAGTTTATTCATAAACTGATTTTGAGAGGATCACAAGCTTATGATTGTTCACGGCTGGTCTCGCATCAGCTTATACACGATGCACCAACCAGATTACTCCTAAGGCCCCGTTTACACTAATGTGTTTTAGTTTGAAAATGCATAAGTTTTGCTACGGTTACGCCATTGTCCACATTACGCCAGAGTTTTCGAGCGTCGAAAACGGAACATTTTGAAAACGCTAAAGAGGCCGTGTTCAGTCTAAAACGCTGCTGCTCCATCTCAGTGTGGATGGGGGGAAATGGAAACATCTGAAAACAGAGGCGGGGTTGCCGACATTCGCCTCTCTGATTGGGGCTTTTTCTCAATATTAAGTAGGCTATTCTACACACAGTTCAGTCCTGCATCCTTGTAGGTTCAGACTTCGCAAGTTTGATATGGAAAACAGACTCCCGAGCACATGTCGGTAAATCTACAAAGGGAAGAGTGTACTTTATAACAGTCACATCATCCTGGCTACGTTGTTTAACTATATACTAACAATAAATTAAAAACATGATATAAGGAACTTCTATTTTCATTTTGATTTAAAAAAAAATTACAAGCAGGAGAAATGTTGAGGCTTTGTGCTGCATATATGAGCGTCATCTTCAATGTATGCATAGCCTATTCATAACAAGATGACGCCTATAACATTATACTGCCTCCTTATTTTCATTGAAAATATGAAACATACCCCCTCTTTTGCTGAATATCAGTTTTAATAACCAATAATGGCCATTATGAAAGTATAAAATACAATAGGTTTATACATTATAGGAAATAAAGGCAAGCAATCAGTCAATATGCAGAATTGGCGTGGTAACATTAGTTATTAACTCTTTGCGCTCAGCCAAAACACGTTACCTGAGAACAAGTAATAGATTCAAAAGACAAAAGTCTGGGAATATGTCATTAGATATAGACAACAAGATGAATTAAATATCACGTTTAATAAATATAGTGAGATTAGATCCAGCGAGAGATCCTTGATGAGCACTGCGACGAGCACAGCTCTCATCTGTCTAGATAGGCTGCAGTGGATGCCAGAGAGTGTGTGTGTGGTCACGTGTTGTGCGTTTTCAGTGTTTTGGTGTAGATGGAGAGCTGTTCAGAAACGCTGGGTGAAACACTAGTGTGGACGCGGATCGTTTTCATTCTAAAATGCCGTTTTCAAACTAAAATGCTCTAGTGTAAACAGGGCCTAAGTCACTATAAATAACCAGAGTTTCTCACTTGGTCATCTTCATCATGGAGAATCCTCCCTTCCTCCCCTTATCCAGATAGGGTGGCCCGGCGGCCCAGTTGTTAGCACTGTTGCCTTAGATCAAGAATGTCAATCATTCAAGTCTCTACCGGGACAGTCCGTGTTTCGGTGTGGAGTCTGCATGTTCTCCCTGTGCTTGCATGGGTTTTTCCCAGGTTCCCCTTTTTTCTCCCACAGTCCAAAGACATGTGACATAAGTGAATTGACTAGTCCTAAGTTGCATCAAAGATGAACTCTTAGTCAGCTATCTATCATAGCAATTCCTA